TAACTTTTATATAAACTCTTAAAATAATAAAAAAAACGAGTAAACCAACCAAATCTTTGGAATAAATGTCTCCTTAAGAATTTTTCTTCTTCTCAAAAGAAACATATTAGATGAAGAAATTAAGTTACCATCTTCTGACAACTCGATGTTTTCATTCACTTGTTCTTGTTCACTGAATGATCTTTTGTCTACCTCCATATCAATCTGTTTTTCCTGGCTACCCTTCCAGTTTTTTGAGTTCTCTTGATCACTGTGGTAAACAAGAAGAATCAGAAATTGTTGAATGAGAGCTATAAGAAGTGAAAGCAAAAAATTGTATTAATAAATAAATTACATTTATTCTAATCCTATTGTTTTATTAAGGTATTTCTCTATGAAATTAGCATCAAGTATTTGCACTCTGCTGTACAGTTAAAAGGCTCCTTCATAATTCCCAGAGTGAGAATACTGATCAAGCTTCTCCATTATACTCAATTACTTCTATAACTATCTCAAGACACCTATTCATGGTACCCAAGCACGTACACCATCTTTGGCCCCGCTAGCTTGAAAGTGTTGGTATGCATGAATTCAATTACATCTGGTCATGCCAAAGGTGAAGATGTCTTCATCCCAATAATTCCTTTGCTACCAAGTGATTGTCTCTTTGAATTTAAAAGGCTTCAATTCCTAGTTACAATTTGTTTTTCAATGCCAATTAATAAGGCACAAGGTCAAAGTTTAAAGGTTGCTGGATTTTTCCTAAGGTAGCCTTGCTTTTCAAAGGGTCAATTATATGTAGGATGTTCAAGGGTTGGATCCCATCAAAATCTGTCTATGTTGTCAGAAGAAGGAATAACAGCCAGTGTGGTATATCAAGAAGCTTTAATTTAGTTTGTGTAATTTGTGTTTCAAAAATCAAATGCTTAGATAAAAAATTAAAATGTTATGAAAATTTTATTTTTAAAATAAATGTTCTTAAAAGTAATTTCATTGTGTTTTTAAATACATATTTTAAGTAATTTGGACACCTGTGCAGAGAATGGGTAATACAGCTAGTTCCTTATATTTCTTTGATTTGTATAAATTTGTGTTTTCATGTTTATGAAGTTGAATACTGACCTCTAAAGTACTTTCTTTGTAGTATGTTTTTATAACCATAGATTGCTTAGGAATATCCTATGCTAATTCACAATGTGTGTGTGTTTACCCACAAACTTCTTCCAGAGTTTTGGATCTAAGGAAACCAAACTTCGCAGGTGGACTTGAGGTATCCATAAGTGTCCTTTTTTATATGACATAGACCTCCTACGAAGGGAGGAGGGCTAAAGCATGCTCATATAGTTACTCAAGAATGATGAGGATCTTGAAGTATGAATTTTAAGTGGCAGTGAACCAGAGTGTGGCATCAGATTTTTTGTCTTTTCCCCTCCCTCAGGATCCTGTGGGCATTATATTTGAACTTTCAAAGTGTCCAAACAAGAATTCACCTTCAGCTAAATTGTCAGTGTTCCAGTTACAGTTGATGCTGTAAATTACCCAATTAAATTCCTAAATTCTCCTGAACCACCAAGAATGTCAGGTCACATTCTGAAATTAAAGGTTGGTTCACCAATAATTTTGTTGAGAAATCTTGATCCTCCAAAATTATGTAATGGCACAAGTTTAGTTGTTAAGACATTACTGCCACATGTTATTGAAGCAGTGCAATAATTGGTCATTTATGTCATGAACAGTATCATTTAAAGGTGCAATAATTGCTTTTTTACACAACAATTAATAATTTTGACAAATATTAGGGAACAACATTTCCTTTAGCTTTTATTAACTATATAACCACATCTGTCTGGAATATTAATATACTTGTTTGACTGATTGATTAGAAACTTTCCAACACTAACTTAAAAAGAAGTTTCTGAATTAAACCATTTGCTTTTATACCATCGATGTTATTAAAAACAGAGAAAATGAAAATAAAGCACAAATGAACTTGTACAATATGCATTCAACATAAACAACATTGTTGGCCTAACAAGGATATCATGATAATTTTGTTGCTAACAACAATTTATAATGTTCAGTATTACCAAAAGGAGCATGACATGAAGACAGAAACGGAATTAAAAGCCAAAATATAGTTTTTGTGGGAAACCTGGTGGGAATTTTGCCCTTTCGTGTTACCATGCCAAGTTTGGTGGTGATTGGTCAAATAGTGTGTGAAGAGTTAGCGGACAGACAAACATACAATTTTGCCCTTATATATATAGATAATAAGTGAGCAATACACAAAAAATACTCTCCTGTAAACCTAGTGATAGAAATGTATTAGCTGGTGCTTTTAAGTCAAGTACTATATAGATGAAATAAAATCAAATTAGTTATATTTAACACATTATAGAAACCATTCCAAAAAGTGTCCAAAAAACTTACTATTTGAATCGTCTTAATCTGCTTTCAGGAGTATTCTGAGGAGAAGGAGGACATATGTTGACTTGAGGAGGGTCTATACTCGAGCTGTTGGCATGGAATTCAGCTATTTCCTTTTCAAGCTCTTCCTTTGTTCTCTGAAAAAAAAAAGAGAAAGGATTCAATAATTGTTAGTAGTTAATACAAACAAAACTTTTGAATCAACCTGAGCCTGAGCAGAATACAAAAATGAAAAACAAAAACTATATATTAATTAAATGTGCAATTGGTGTCACAAAACTGCTAAAATGTTAACATATATAATGTTCTAAACATTGTGTAATGAACTAGCCGAAACCTGCAAAACATTCTCGGTAGTTGTCATGCATGTCATTTAAACTACACTTTCTTGCAGGAATTATGCATTAGATCAACAAATTCTGGTTTATTTGAAAAATTATATGCAGTCAGACAAACAAACTCATGTGGATGTAATTTTATTTAATAAAACTACACATAAAGTAAACAATAACATATAGTAATGGTATTCCTAACAGTGTACAAAGTATGAAACAGTTATGAACGTTCAGTGTATGACATAGTCTTAGGAGATCAAACAAAGAAACTCACAAAAATGAAGAATAAAAATCCTATAATACAAGAAAGATACCTAAAAGGTGTTCATTCAATCTACAAAATGAACCAAAGCTAAATTTTTGCAAATTAATGTAAATGTAAAGTAGTAATGAAGGCAGACTTAGTTGAATATGCAGAAAAGTCTGAATGCATGTTCAGAAAGTGATAAGCATATGGTTTTGAATGAACTGTGCATGCATATTTTAGACACAAGTAAGTTGAGAAAGCCCATACAAATTGTATTTAGTGTAATGTTCATTTTATTTTAGGAAATTACACACAGGTAACATATATAATTTTCTAAACATAGTGTGAAAAACTTTGCAAATAAAAAAACTAAAGTTGATATCCAAGCCAGTTGTCATATGATGACAACAACATTGTGCCATTGTGTACCGTACTTGTTGCATTGAAAAGTTTGACTAAGTAAAATACGGATAAGATTATTCTGAATTGAAAAGGCAATGTGCAATCTGGACTCCTTGGCCAAAGGCCTTTCTAATGATATGAGACTTGTCGCATATGATTTAGAAATTTGTGAGAAAAGTTCTGGAAAGACAAATTCAGGCATATATTATTTATATAAATACATGTATACATGTAATCCAGTGAAAACTGTTAAAAAAATTTCTTTTCTTATTAAACTTGAATTAAAATTTTGAAAAAATATCATCCAAAATACAAATAGTTGACAATCTTTTTAATCTAGCAAATCATCTGTTACTCTTTTTACATTAGAAATGCATAAAATAACTTTCAATTAACACTAGTTATGATTATTAAAGAGCTGACCTCCTTATCTTCCTCAGCTTCTTCTTCCTCTGCTGCTGTTAATTCTTGAGCATTGGCCAGGTTATCAACAGCGATAGCCAGAAATACATTGAGAAGAGTATCTTTTTAGTGTTCAAGTTAAATAACTTCTCACTAAAATATGTTAAATTTTATGAAATAAGAAATTCCAAAGTTTTTTAAACCAAAACTCTTTTGACATACTAATTTTTTAATGCTAAAAGTACACATAGAAAGGTTACAAAACACTTGTGTTAATTTTAATATATAAAGAAAAGTGAGCATAAAACCATCATTTCCTGACATTTGGTGAATGGTAGTTTTTGATGTGAGAAGTTTGGCTTAAGCACCCGTATCATATTTGTTTTATTATTGTTATTTTTAGACACCTGAGGCTTTCAAATAGAAAAGAAACTGATAGATGGTGTACCGCTACTCATGTATAGGTCCTTCAATAGATATCTCTATTACTAATTAAGATACATTTCACCTCTTACTTATTCATATATTTTAACTTGCTTGTACCCTAGTTTGTTTTGCTTTTTTTATTTTTATTTTATTGTATTTATATTACATTTATGCCAAAGTTGTCACCATCGCTAATTTTGAGTTAACAACCAGATGGAAAACAGCCAATCAACAGCACTCTACCACCCACTATCTGTTCTAAGGGATTGACTGTTACTCTTATCATACCCCCACAGCTTAAAATGCAGGGAATATGTATATTACAGTATTGTATGGATTCGTAGAGGACTAACCCACACCCATTTATTTTATATGCAGTGATTTTTACTTTTCATCATATTGTCTGAAAAGTTATTTTAACTTGTTACATTCATTGTCTGATGAATAGCTTTAAAACAAAAAGAAAATCAGCCTTGTGTGATTTCTGCCAAGACAGAGAAAAATAATAGTGCAAAAGATCTTTGTAGAAATAGGACATACTAAGCAAGGATGGGTCTGGCATGGCCTTGTGGTCAGTATACTCAACTCGCAATGTATGGGCCATGTGCAAGTTTGAATCTCACCAATGAACATGCCATCACCAAGTATGCTCACCCTTTCAACCATGAAGACTTTATAATGTTACGGTCAATCCCACTATTCATTGGTAAAGAGTATCCCAAAAGTTGGCAAAAGGATGGTGTTGAATAGCTTCCTTCCCTTTAGTTTATCACTTAAAAATTAGGGAGGGCTAGCACAGATAGCCCTCAAGTAGCTTTGCTCAAAATTCAACAACAAACAAGCATAGTTAGAATGTGAGATAGCGAATTCTACTTTTATGTTTTTATGGATTTTGTTTATCACTCATTTATTATTCTTTCTATCATTTAGTATAAAATATGAATATTTAGTTATATTAAAGTATTAACTCACCTTCTATTTATGATTTTGTGTATGTACATATTATGAAATTGACACCAGCTCCCATAGCAGTGACATACAGACATTACTGTTGTGAACAATTATGTAGATTTATGGTATTAACTAGTCACATGAGATGTAACCTTGTGATCTAACCACTAAATAAAGCACCTTCCTTGATCATGTAAGTGAGTTAGTTCACGAGATATAGTAAGAAACAATTATTGCTAATTTTTGTTTGATATTGTTCTGGATATTGAGAAATGGTTTTCAAATGTTGTGTTACTTTCTGGTGTATTAGTTTGTTTTCTTCTTCTGGTTCTTTTTCCTAATTCTTTTGATATTTATTAAAATGAATCACATTGAGGTTTATATTGTATTGTTTGTTAAGGTTTGTATCTAGTCCTGGCCAGGTACAAGTTTACTAATCGTTTTGTTTTTTGTAAGTGGTAAAATTTGCATCCGAGTTATTTTAAAGTTGTTTGTTTTTATTTCCACTGGTATATTTAATAAATTGTTTTTGTTTGATCCTTGTTGTAGTGGTGTTTTGATTAGACCACTACAAGGATACACCATTAAACAAAGCCTTTTACCCTGTATAATACATATCATTTCAACTTAACTAAAACTAACAAAACTAAGAGGGCAAGCAAGAGTGTTCTTACACCTATCAGCTTCATAACACTTTAATAGAATGCAAGATTTAATTCTTACAACAACTACTTAAATTTCAGTCTCGCAGGTTTCCAAAACATCAATCACATGTAAGTCATTTTTTACAAGAAACAGTCACTTAAAACCCATTGGCACTCAAGTTACATTCATAACATTTTAAAATGGGATTTTGATATGTGTGTGTGTATGTGTTTAGTATTTGTTATTATATATATAAGTAAGGGCAAACAAGGGTTCAGAAGTCATCAAATAAGGCATTACTAAAATTTTTGTTTAGAAGCTTACATAAAATTTTACAGCTTGTATAAAAAGTCATTATGTAATTTATTTTTGAAATAAAACATTTTCTTATAATAGTAATAACTTAAATGAAGTTAAAATTAGATTAAAAAGTTGGTTAAAATACTAGTGATTAAAATTTTCTTTACATGTTATGGGTTAGTGTATTTATAACAAACTTATTTTGAAATCACTTTTATACTTGCTTCCAAGTTCATATACACAAAGGGCTTACGGTGACCACTAAAGGTATCAAATCCCGATTTTTAACGTTATGAGATATAAGGCCCCAAGCTTATAGTTGAGCTACAAGGGAGCTAAGAGGTATGTATGTACATAATATATAAATATATATTATTTATATACATGTATATAAAAGGTCAAGAATACTTAGAAACAATGAGGCATTCTAATTCATGTTAACTTTATAATTTATCCTCGTAATTATAAGCAATTATCAAACAGGTTTCACATGGAAGTAACTCTTATTTGTCAGTCATGTATCATCAATGTGGTTCTTTAAAAATCTCTAAAGAAGATTTGTGATTGAAAACATCTGCTTTCATGATGTAACCCTCATTTACTTGTTAATTTGAGTTTTATACTTACATAATATAAATTTTATCATTACCTATTTTGTTTTATACCAAGTGTGATACCGACTTAAGCTATCTGTCTGTCTGTGCATATGCCATAGTAATGATCACACTTATACCAACTTATACATCAGTACTGCTATGCAATATCTAAGCATATGTTAATTTTTTTACAACTGCTTTACTTGTAAGGAGTATATTTTACTTTTTCAAATGAATGACAAAGTAAATTGACAAAAATATGAAACCTTATAACTCGAGCACTTTTAAAAGGTGGACCTCTTTTCACCAGTGGCAAATTGATGAAGAAAGGTCTACCTTTCTAAAGGGTTTCTTATTTTGATAGTTAAAGTAAGTTAGTCTTGACTGCAATCTACTGCTCTGACCGAGAACTGAAACATAACACCAACCAAACAAAGGATGACTCACAGAATAAGCGAAATTATGCAGCTTATTTAAGAACTTATACAGCTTATTAAAGAATACTTAATCAGTATTTATCAATAAATTTAGTTAACTTCACAGTAAGTTTTATTAGATGAAAATAACAAATTCTAAGACATTTTCTGCAATTTATAAACATGTGTAAAATTATAAATATCTTGTGTATTAATGGTGTAACTAATAACAGAGAAATATATTGTGTTACAAATTTATATTTTACTCTCTGAGATGAACCAATTTTCATTGACTATTACTCCACAAGTAAATGAATATTTTTATTACTCATACTTCCTGGGTAGTTAATCAGTATTTAAACACAGATAATCATGGTTGTACTTAGGGTATGACCCTGTGCTACTTATGATAAGTTAGGAGATTTATTCTTTGAAGTTTAGTGTCATTTGATAGTTCAAAGTGAAAAAGATTTAAAGATATGATTTTATTTTAATATATTCTCTTCACTTGAAGTTATCGAATAAATTAGTAAATCAACTCTTGAAGTGTTGATAAATATGGTGGGTGATATATTAGACAGTTATAGGCCAATTGAATACAGCATGGGGAGATGCAGATTCAGTGACTTACTTCTTGGACACTTGATAAACAAATTTCATGTAGGTCAATGAGCTCCCTCTATGAACAGAGTTTTAACTACAGCTAGATATTTGGTGCTGTAAAAACACTTCTGTTGAGTCTATCACAAAGTGTGAAGCTAGTTGTTTCACTGCCCATTTAACATTACACAATGCTTGTCCATTGTCATATTTCTCCAATGTCTCATGTTTAATCACTACTCGGAAGTATTATTTTTGTATTTGCAAATTCATGTATGCAAGTATTACTTAAGTTTGCCTAGTACTTTGTAGTCTCATTCTACATGTATCTAATCTCATATATACTATTGGATACTAATTTTTACAATTCATAAGATACAACAACTCAAAAGTATGGAGTTCTCGGTTTGTTCAAAGTGTCAGGATAATTTAAATCATCAACTTTTCTTATCTGTTTGTATGTATGGACAATATAGTAAACATGTTGAAGTTACGTGATATTGACAGAACAGTATTATGAGCATCTACTGGGTGAACTGAATGTGAAATTGGTAATTCTTCCTGGGATATCATATTAAAGGCAGTAACAATGACAGTAATAACACACACACACACACACACACACAGCAAGGATAACAATGTAAAAAAATTAAAGAACTCAAATACAATAATTTAAAAGGAAACATATTTTGTAATATAATCTCAATACACCACATGACTTATATAAGGACCAATCATGAGACTTAATTACATGATATGGCTGATATAAGGAACCATTATGGGATATAGGTACATACTTTACCTCATGACTAAATAAAGGACATTTGTGGGATAAAAGTTTTCCACATGGATAATGTAAGGGAAATTCCTAGCATGTAGACATATATATTACAGAGCTGATATAAAGGGCATTTGTTTGGTATAAAAGAAAAACACTATATGAATTATGCTATACTTTAAAGATAGTTTAATTATCTTCAAGATTCTAAAGGATACAGTTGCCAAAGAGGACAAGAATGATAAAGTACAGACTATAGACCATGCCTCCATGGATACCCCCTTGTGATTCTATCCCTCGGTACATCACTTCATTCCAATCTTCCCCTGTTAGAATCTATACACAAGGAAGATAATATGAGATGAAAAGCTTGTGAGACCTATTTATCTAAAGTCACAGCTGTACATTTAGACAAAAAACACACATATACAATAATAGTTTACTCTATGTTTGAAACGGATAAGAAGAAATTATGAGTTAGTGGTGTTCAATAAACTTGACTTATATGCTGTATTTCTTTATGTTATGAATGTCACTTTTAACTTACATGCAAGTAACTAATTACTTATATTAATGAATTCAAGCAATAATAAATACAAATAATTTATTGTAACCACATTGTTAAACATCTTTACTTTTCTTGTTCCTCTAACTACCTGCCAGTTTTTTCTAAAAACTTCATATCACAAAATTAAAACAATAGTTCATGGTGCATAGTAAAACCTGTATCATGACCAGCTCTCATGAGTTTAAGTCAAGTTATGTAATATTATATTGGGTGACAATCAATCACTGTTATGTACCAGTAACAATGTACATACAACAATACCATCATACCTGAATATTTCAGATACAACAATACAGTCATACCTGAATATTTCAGATACAACAATACCGTCATACCTGAATATTTCAGATACAACAATACCGTCATACCTGAATATTTCAGATACAACAATACCGTCATACCTGAATATTTCAGATACAACAATACAGTCACACCTGAATATTTCAGATACAACAATACCGTCATACCTGAATATTTCAGATACAACAATACCGTCATACCTGAATATTTCAGATACAACAATACAGTCACACCTGAATATTTCAGATACAACAATACAGTCATACCTGAAAATTTCAGATACAACAATAATCTAATATGATACATATCAGTAATAAAAGAACACTTTAGTTATAAAAATAACTTATTACCTGGAATACAGTGAGCAAGGCAATAGGAAAAGTGTTGAAATTGGCAGATGGAGTTCCATCGGGGAAATTGAAGCTGGAAAAAATATTAACACAGCAGATAACAAAATATGCTTAACATACCAGATTTAAAACCAGAAAAAATGAAAAAACCTTTCTACAATTTTTAAACAAAAATGTTTTAAAATTAACTAGTTATCAATAAAATGTTTACCTCCTTTTTTTTTTGGAATGGTTTGGTTTATTTTGAATTTTTGCACAAAGACTAGAGGGAAGGCAGCTAGTCAACATCACTCACCGCCAACTCTTGGTCTACTCTTTTACCAATGAATAGTGGGATTGAATGTCACATTATAATTCCCCCACAGCTGAAAAGACGAGCATGTTTGGTGAAAGGTATTCGAACCTGGGACCCTCAGATTGTGAGTCAAGTGCCTTAATCACGAGGCCAACCCCCTTTTTTTTTATGGAATTAAATATATATTGAAATGTAATCCAAATGTAATTAAGTAACTTTACTGAATATAACTGTACAAAATGTTTCAGTTGATGTTTATTATAATATATCCGTGCACATGGAAAACAACTATGCTTAAACAATCATTGCTAAAAAAAGTATTCAAATTTTATTCGTTTCTTAAATTCTTAAAATATAAATTTTTTGCTACATATATATAGATTAATTTAAGTTATATAAATATTGGTGGTGAATTTACTGATCAAAATCAGATCATTTATTTTTCTATTAAGTTTAGATATCCTAAATTAGATTTAATCATTCAAAATATTAATTCAGTAATCCATTTTTGTTAAACTTAGAATTACTGGGGAAAGTAGAAATGAACCAGAGGGATCACGTTTATAAAAGATTTGGATTTCTTTCATGGTGTCATGAGGAGAACATAATTTTTAAGGAATCATAGGAATATCATTGTTTCTAAGAAGTTATGAAAAGAACAGCAACTCTAATATGAGACAAAAGAAAGAAGGTTTTTAGGGCAAAGGACAGAACTATGTTTCCACAAAATTCAGATATATAGGATGCCTAGAGAAACTAATGACATCTTTTTATCAAAAAAGTATTTTAAAGTATCTTATGTTCCCTTCTAAACAAGTACAGGTTTTCCTAAGATAAAAATGTGTTAAACTTTAGCAATTTGATGTAAAAATGACGATAGAAAATAAAATTTCTGCATGAAGTGTTACTAGAAACTTTAATTTTAACAGAACTCATAATCATAGTAACTACAATTACAATATGAATAGAACTTACGCTCCACCAAACAGTTGCATCCCTAAAAGAGCAAAGATGAGGATGAAAAGGAAGAGCAAAAATAGGAGACTAATGATGGAACGCATGCTACTGAGAAGAGAAATCACCAAGTTTCGGAGGGATGACCAGTACCTGCATTGAAACAAGATGTCATTTTTTAAAATCTTCATTTTGAAATAATAAACTCAGCAGATTCTTCAAAAAAATACATTTAACTTAATCATGGCTTAAGTTATTTGATGTTTTAGAATAATGAGTGATTATACTTAATAGTACAAGGCAGTGGTTTGGGGTCGGGATAGTGGTGGTAGCAGACTCCACATTGGAGAGTTCTGTCTCCCCAATATACCCCCCCCCCTTCATTCTTTTAAGGTTTTTAAGTGCTCTACATTGTAGTTCCTACTGACATGGAAGTGTTAATTTTCTTTATTTTCTGAATCCCCCAACTAATTTATTACACCCCCCCCCCTCAAAACTGTATTTCTACAGGGTAACTATGAAATAATACTTGAAATCTTGTTTCTCTGCAAAATCTCAATATTATTATTTGGAAGATACATATTAGAATACGAATGTCCGAGATACATTTATCACACCACTTAGAACTTAAAAGTATTAAATACATTATTTTTCCTATTTTCATAAGTTAAAAAACTAAATATCAACTTATCTAAAAACTATTATTTTATAGGAGTTTTAGTTCAACCATCAACATCTTAAAAGTTTACATATAAAGATTTAGGTTAACTTATGAAAAACTAAGAAAGATGAAAAATACATTCAAATATTTTATTTATCGTGGATAAATATTAAAATACTACACATTTAAGTAATTTTTCTCTAATATTTTAATGCATCTTTCAAAATTTCTTGTTTAAATAACGAACCAGTTATTTGATTTGAGACAACTGAATTTTCAAGGAATTCAACATATACATATATATTACTAGACTGTAAATCCATTCATTAAGTAATATGATAAACATCATGTGTTCTTATGCTCTTGAATGTATTACTTTAATTGTTTTTCATAAACTTTTAATATTACTTCATACACTTAATACAATGGAAAAGTAAGAAAGACTCACTTGGTGACTTTGAATATCCTGAGCAGCCTTAATGCTCTAAGTACTGAAAACCCGAATGAGCCTTCCCTCACACTGGACCACACAACCTCAAATACACTACCTGCTATAACCTGTAATATATAAATAATTTTTTCTTAAACAGCTTAATTTTATCTTGCAAGTAAAACAAATATAACTAACTTTGTCATTGCTTCATACTCATTGCATAGAATAAACTTGTAAGTACCTATATGCTTTAGTGATTATAAATACTCATTATTAGTAAATGTTGTAACAGTTCTATATCTAGCACATTTATAAGGCAAGTTAGTAAGATATCTTAATAAGCACAATCAGTGTTTAAAATCTTAGTCAAATTTCTACCTTACGTCATTATTTCACTGTTTTAAATATTCAACTCTAGAAAAAAATAAGAACCGCAATACAGACAATGCTGTGGTGTTCTTTACTTATAATTAAGGAATGTTTTCCATATGATTTAAATGAAACACAGGTGTAGCTTGATCAATAATTACCTTACAGCCTTGTCACAGTACTTGCAAGAAGAATAACTACTAATTAACTAAATCTTTATCAATAAAACTCTCTCCAGGCACATCAAGAATACAAAATGTCAGAAACACCACTTACTACACAATCAAACCTGTTGAAGGAGGACTCGAAATAGATATGGGGTCCTAAGGCATACATTTTCATAAACATTTCAAATATGAAGAGTCCCAAAAAAACAAACTCTGTCCAATCTGAAATGGTAGCAAAAGTGATTAGTACATGAAATGTTAAAATAGTTAAGAAAAAGAGAAACTGAGAAGAGAAGATAATACGTGCATTCAAAGGTTAGGATTTCTAAGCCTAAAGATTCAAAACACAAGATATTTATTAGCAAGTTTGAAACAGCTACTGGTCATTGAAGAGAAAACTTTAGAAACTAGTCATAGTTGTAAAGAATGCAATTTCCTCAGACATTTCCAGTTATAAATCTATAAAGACAGAATTAAACCAATTTTCTGATAATTTATGGTTATAAGGAAGAAAACACAAATATATTTAGTATGAACAAGAAGCTAGTAAACATTTTAATTTAATATTCCTAAGTTTTACATCCATTGTAAGGTTCTCTTTCATAGATTTGATAATACAGGATTAATTAATGATATTTGTATTCATTGGAAGGATCTTATTTTACACATCTGGTATACTAAAGGTTCCTTGATGATATACATATTTATTACATATAGGGGCATATTTCACAGGATTCTTACATTTGTTACAAGGTCCTTTTCATATTTTTGAGAGATTACACAATACACTCATGTACTTTAGACACTACAAAAGTTTTAATTTTGAAACAGCTTATAAAATCTGACCATTTAGTAGCTCATTAAGATGGATTGATATAATGTTTAAAGGTACCTCTGATTCAAAGAAAGCATAAATAATTGCACTGAAAACTTGTCAGCTAGTTTTGAGAGCTGCTAGATGCAAGCCCATACCAATTTGTCCATAATGTACTTTCTTGTATAGCATAGCTTAAGATGTTATGCGATATCAAGATAACCGAATAATACAAAAACATTCAAACATAAATTCTTCAACACAAATTTATTGCAAAATATGTGTTTAGTATGAGATCAAACATTTTTCACAATTTGTTAGTGTATTCCACATGATGAAATATTTAAATCAATAAAAAACTTGATATTAGATATCAGATGAGAAATATTTAAACCATAAGTTCATAATAACAGGGAAATGAGTATTACTTACATAAAAAAACTGTTAGCCACTTTGGCTGGTTGTAATGTTCTACAGCTACACATACAGTGTTAAGAAACACAAGTACAATTACAACCCAATAAAACACCTGGGTCTTTACAAGGTGGCGAATAAAAAACCTGAAGAATGAATTGGAAGACACACCCAGTTAATACACAGTCAAAACCAAGAAAAACTAGACAATAACTCAAAACTGAAACTTTCTGGTTTGTAAAATAAGACAGTTGTTGAAACATAGTATAAGATCACAAGAAAATCTTACTCGAAACACAGAATCTCCAGTGGTCTTTTATGAAATACTGATATCAACAATATTGGGTGCACTACATATTTTAAAAACTAACTACAATTCAGTTCTTTAAAATTAGGAAACTCAACAGATTTTGCTATGATGTAAGGAAAGAAGTTATTTTTAGTATTATTGTGTTTTGTTTCAACTTGTTGTGGGACATGTTAATTAAAATCTATGTAAAGTTAATTTTTTAATCATTCATTTAAAGAGTTTAATTAATATAAATTAATACATTGTTATGTGCAGATAACACACTCTATCAATACTTTTTATAAAAGATAACAATTCATTCTAATACAAACACACACACATATACACATGTATATATATACATGCTAATTAAAATTACTTTTACTTAGATACCTTCACTAAATGTATAGGTTCACTGTTTTCAGATACAGTATTGTTTTTTACAAGAACTTGAAGAATTTTGATAGTTTATATCTCGATAAGTACTAGAGGTTACTTTTAACTTATTGTATCAACTCAAGTTTTTACAGAGATGAACAGAAACATACCTGAATCTTTTTTCTGCTTGCCAAAAGGACTTGCATGCACCTTTATTCTTGACTTTTGCCTTGAGGTAGGAAGCCCGTGCAAAACCTAAATATATTAAAATGCCAGTGCTATTGAAATGAAAACCAGAATATTTTTTTAATTACTATATATTTTATAAGAGAAAAACTCCTAAAACACATTCGAAAAGGGAAGCAAATTACACTTTTATGATCAAACTGAAACTTAAAATAGCCCTTAACAATGAGCTTATTCATTTAATTTGTGAAAACAAGGGCTTTAACTTAAACTAACGTGAATAAAGAGGGCTGAATATGTTATATTAACATGATTTTTAATATGGAAATCAGCAAGTCACATGACAACACAGCAGTGGAGCAGTATATATATATATATATATATATAT